TTTTGCTTCACTCTTGCTAACACATGCCACTGGCTTCTCTTTATCATCTATTACTTGATGGTGTGCTCAGCTATAAAAAATGTAGGGTGCATATTGCCTCCATAATAATATAAATGAGATTATGTATCCTATTATGCCAATAATAAAATTATGTTGAATCTATGGCTATATCTATCTGTAAGGTGTCATTGTTCTATTTACAAAGTAAAAACTCGCTAAGTTATTATAGTGCAATAAAACTCTCCAATCCAGCGATCTTACAGCTGTTGCCAAGTATAACATATATATGTAATAAAAACAAACTCAGAAGTAGTGACCAGCAGGAATTTTGAGGGTGTAGAGGTGTTGATTCCTAATGAATAGGAAACTGGAGGTGAAGGCAGATTAAATCTTCATTTTTTATTTCAGCAAACATGTTGTGGCCACAAACAAGTTGCACATTAATTGTGCCTATTCCAAAAAGCTTACGTTTTAGGTAAATTTGAAGCAAGGTAGAAGGAGCAGACAGGAAGCAGTCCAGCGAGGCCAAAACGTTCAAAAAGCGATATGCTCAGGGTGAAATCTTAATTTAGACTGATTTAGGTTTGATTCTCAATGCATTTTGTTGGATAGTTAATATTGCTGTAAAATTACTAGAGTACAAAGTCTTTAATACAGACGTCCATAATCCAGAATGATCTATAATCCGGACCTCAAAGCTACAAACTTTCTGCGCATTACCTTTACACATGCACATAATACGTTTACACATGCACATTTAATGTACAACGGACGGTAAGAGCTAGGCTAAAATGATCTAAATATCTATTTCAGTTAATGTTGCAGATTGCGTTGTTCTTTAAGCTTCTAAATGGATCTAGCTTATTATTTTTTGCAGACTGTTAGAGCAATTTTATAAAAAGTAAGCTTGAACTTTTGATTATGTCAAAAAGAGTTTCCGATGCTGGAGCTCCCAAAGGATTTACAAAGCGAAAGTATGTTTCAATGTCCATCAAACAAAAAGTGGAATTGCTGCAAAAAATGGAAAAAGGCATATCCTTTGTTTCTCTAACCATTCCGAAATCTGTTTATCAATTTCATGCTGCTCTGCGGGGGGGGGGGGACGTCGCGGCGCGCAATGAACTGGAAGTTGATCTGTCAGCACTATCGTTATCTTCAGGGCAGATTTTTTATTTTATTCGGCTTATAAATCCTTACTAAATATAGTATTTTATCTCGATGTACTCTGTCTTTCATATGATTTAAATCAAATTCCTCGTCATTATAAATATCACGAATACACATAAATAGTTTTCTGGTTGCAATTTTCTAATTTTGACTATGCGTAGTGTATGCTTTACGCATGCATGCGCTGAAAGAAATGTTTAATAAAGTAAACGAATATATATTAAGCTTTTTTTTTTTGTAAATTTTGATACCCTTTAGATCATAATTGCTCTTTATTTCATAAATTACGGTTTCATATTTTTAATTTTATAATTTCTGCATACCATCTTAGCAGATTTAAATTGATGATCTATAATCCAGAAAAAACCCCTAATCCGAAATCGCGAAATCCCGAAGAGTCCGGATTAAAGACTTTGTACTGTATTGGCTGCTTGAGTTTTAGTTCCACTTACATCATCAGAATTGTAAGAGTCATATGACATGGATTAACCTAGAAATGACGCAGGGCAAATAGAGGTTACTATTTTTAGAATGCAGAAGGGACTTTAAGATGCTAATTTGATCTTTTACATATTCCTTATTTTTCTCATATATATGTATATACATGTACATATATACGTGCATAATCAGCATGAGATCTCTTTCATTAAGTGAGAAGAATTAAGGCAGATTCTGAATCCAAATTTCTGTTCATATCAAGAATAACAGCAATTAGAAAGAACAGAAAACAAAACTGAAATAAAAAAGAAAAGGAAATTCCACAATTGAATCTGGATCATCATAAAAACAGTGTAACAAAACAGTTTAGAGGGGGTTATTGCAAACAAAAATGCAAAAATTTAATCTAATCTCACTGAACTTTAATCTTAACTATATAAATAGTTGATATTTAGTTTAAAAAATGATACATTCTTTGCTACCATACAAGACTGTATGTACTGCAAATAGCATCACGGCAAGGTAAATTTTAGAAATGGTGTAGACATCAGATTTAGCAAGCTTCTTCTGTGGCAGAGAAAATAAATCAGAAGAAATTATTTTCTTTTTTATTTATTTAAATGCAATATAGTTATATTTTATTTATACAGTTGCCATTTAATGTGATAGCAATTAATTTTACCATGCAGATATTGTTATTGAATTGCCAGAGTCTCGCCCATATGTGTCTGAAAACATGGAAAATGCATGGCTACAATTTAGTTAATATCACAGAATGAAATTTTTTAAACTGAAGTGATGTTGCTAAATGAGATTGAAATAGAGTGTAGAAACTGCAAAATGACAGAAATATGTTTCCAGGTAAAGGATTAAGTCACCAAGTACCTTGATTCATTTAAGCCAACCATGCACAAAGAAATCCCTTTAGGAACATCAAATGCCTATTCACTTTAATGAAGCAAAATTCCAAATGGCCATGCTTTCTTATATCAAAAGAATCTCATTAGCTGTCTTGAACTTTGCACTTATATAAATGTTCTTTTCTAGGAAATGCTCATTATTTTATTCTGTTTAGTCATTTTTATTATGGAATCTAGTGAAAGGCATAATGATATGAGTCTAAGGCAGCATTTCCAAACCCGTGGTCTATGGACCACAAGTAGGCCTCAAAGTTTGCCTTTGTGGTATACGTAGATTTGCAAAAATGTCCTGTTATTTGTAAACAAAATTAACAAGATTTTACATCATTTCAAGCACACTGGCATATCTTTCAGATGTATATCCTCAGAACTAAATGCTACAAATCTACACGGTAATTTTACAAAGTAATTCTCAATGCCCATAAGAAATTAAAGACGTCTGAGAAGAAACTTGGTTTTCAGCTGTATAAAATAGAAACATTTTTCACCATTTCTAAGCTTAAAATCATTTTTAGTAGAAAATTATATTATTATTGGAAAAGAATTCTACAATGACATAATTTGAAACGCATTAGGAATTTTCACTGGTTCTTGATCCTTTCCACTGTGATTTTGAAAATAACAAACAATCATTGACTGAAAAAGAACAATTAATTGAAATCTCTTAACCAGACTTAAAATTAAATTCCAAGTAGAAGGTGTGGTTAATTTCTAGACCAGTGAAAATGGAATACAACGAACTACAGTCAAAAGTCGTTAATCTGGACTTGTCGGGACATCGGCAATTCCGGATTATAGATCATCAGTTTAAATCTGGTAAGAATGGCATGCAGAAATTATAAAATTAAAAATATGAAACCGTAATTTATGAAATAAAGAACAATTATGATCTAAAGGGTATCAAAATTTACAAAAAAAAAAAAAAAAAAAAAAAAAAAAAAAAAAAAAAACGCTTAATATTTATTTGTTTACTTTATTAAACATTTCTTTCAATGTAGGTTGTTTAAGTTGCTTCGTTTTTTATGTGATAATACATTCTCTTTAATTTTATAAACAGATATAATTCCTTCTTCAGTTACAAAGTGCCGCTGTTCAAGTCCTATAATTGCTGTGTCGAGAATACCAACTAATTTGTCAATCGAAATTTTTTCATTTTCAATAACCTCTGTCACTTTCTTCGCTATCGGAAGCGAATTATAATGACGAGGAATTTGATCTAAATCATATCAAAGATGAGTAATAAGCCAAATAAAATAAAAACATCCGCCCTGAAGATAAGGATAGTGCTGACAGATCAACTTCCAATTCATTGCGTGCCACAGCGTTAAAAATAAACAAAGTTTAGATAAACAAACGTTAAAGTTTAGATAAACAAAGGATATGCCTTTACCCATTTTTTGCAGCACAATTCCACTTTTGTTTAATGGACTTCGAAACATACTTTCGCTTTGTAGATCCAAAAATACTTTCGCTTTGTAGATCCTTTACATATTAGTAAATATATATCAGAAATTCTATTTGACATAATTGAAAGTTCAAGCTTACTTTTATAAAATTGCTCTAACAGTCTGCAAAAAATAATAAGCCGAATCCAATTTGAAGATTAAGGAACAATGCAATCTGCAACATTAACTGAATTAGGTAATTTTAGCTTAGCTTATACCGTCCGTTATACATTAAACGCGCATTCGTAAACGTATTTTGTGCACGCCCACACGCATATTCGCAGCCGTAAAGGTCTTACGCGCATGCATCAACGGGACGCATGCGCAGAAAGTGTGTAGCTTTGAGGTCCGGATTATAGATCATTCTGGATTATGGGTGTCCGAATTAACGACTTTTGACTGTAACAGTAAAATGGTGCTTTAAAACTTTATAATTTAGTTTCTGTCTGCAGTTATGCAGTTTATGTCTGTAGTTAGTTTCAACTGTGTAAAAGAAGGTTTTTGCTATTAAGTAGTTCATTCAAATAAAAACAAAGAACTGAAATACACTTGATGTATATGCAAATTTCAGACTTAAACCTACCGGCATACATTTAAACAAAGAACAGCTGCACAAGAATCGGCAAGTAGCTAATGTGAGTATCAACATTTATTTAATTTTTAGTTAATAAGACAGAGATTATCCAAATTATAATAGATTTAAGCCATTAAAAACAAATATAATTTTTCTTCAATCAGTTTATCATTAGCAATATAAAATTAAATATGTTTCAATTAATTATATTTTTAAAATGTAAGTATACCAATAATAATATATGTTAGATAAAGTGTTTTCAAAGAGGACAAAAGTAAGGTGCTCTAGAGAATATTCTAATTAATTAAAGTGGTCCCTAGTCGATAAAAGTTCAAGAAATGCTGGTCTGAGGTATAAAGGTGACTTGTTGAACTGCTGTGACACCCAATATAAAGTGTTTATAAAGAGTTTGAATTAAAGAAAAAAAAAAAAAAAAAAAAAGAGTGGGATACATACTAAGTTCTTGATCACTAATTTGAGAAAGATGTGGTTGTTTGAGTGTTGAGTGGTTGTTTGATTGATGTGGTTGCAAGTAGTTGTTTGAGTAGGCTGAAGATGAGTTTGAAGTACAGCTCTGCTCTGCAGGATGCCTTGTCTGGTTTTGAAGTGACTTTGAAGGCACTCGGCAGTTTTGGTTAATGATTTGCCTCCCATTAGCCCTTTCTTCACAGCTGTCCACATCAGAAATATTTTCACTATTTATGCTATGAGTTGCACCTTGAACAGAATAATTTTTACCACCATAATCATTCTGATTATTTTTTCCTCCCTTTGGATATGGACTGGAACTACTGTCATATAAACTTTCTGTAACTTGACTGCATTCATCCACATGATTAGAATTCAATAATTCTGCCTAAAATAACACGAAAAAATAAAAATTCATAAAATTAATCAAAAATATATTCTGACTATTAACTTCATTTATATTAATATTTCAGGCTCATCTTTAGCTGAAGTAAGATTGAGTGTTTAGAGCAACTTTAAAATAACTTTAAAGCAAAAATGTTTTAAAACTGGCTTTTTGAACTTTAAATACCTTTCAGTATACACATGTTGCACATTGCAATCATGAAAATTTATTTTGCTTTAGCACATAAATTTGTTTTCAAAATTTATAATATTTTTCTTCTTTGTTAGTTTAATGCTTTACTAACCTGCTTGATGATTCGAATTTTGTTTAATTACCGTACTCAAGGATAAAACTCAATAGCCAGTATCTAGAGTTTTATATTCTTCATTCAATATTATATTCATGAGTATAAAGGAAATTAATATAATTTCATTCATGTGGTTTTGTGTTGCCAGATAATAATCAGCAGAAACTCTCAGTTAAAATAATAAATAAATAAAAGCAGTCAGCAGCCTTTTTGCCTCATGTTATTTCCTCTAACATAAGAAAAATTCTGAAGAACATGAAGCTCCATGTTATGGTTATTCTAATATATTTCATTATGCTTAGCTAATAATAGAGTACTCTAAAAAACTTCCTACTTTTAAAACTGTTCTAGTAAATTCCTTAATTTATTGGGGGGGGGTACTAGTGGCATATTATTTTCTGATTTTATATTATAATTTATTTGGTGGCGTTATTTGCAAAAATTTAAAAAAAAATTAACATGTCAGTCACATATATCAACATTTATTACAAAAGGTCTTTTAATTTCTCACTTGAAAATATATACAGATGCAGTACAGAAATTTAATAAAAATTAGTCAACAAATTTACAGAAAAAGAAAATTCACTGCAGATTAAAAAAAAAAAAAAAATTAGGTAAAACTTAACCTTAGATTGACAAAAGTCAATGCAAAATCAATTTCAGATTAACAAAAATTTTACAAAAAAGCTTTAAGCATTTCAAGGGATAATGTCACAGATCCTTTTCCTTCAAGCAGCAAAAATATTATAGCATAATTTTCAGTCACAGACACTAATTTAATATTAGAGAGATTTTTCTTCATATATACAGATACTGAAGAAATTCATAACACTATTTCAAAGTTCAAATACTAAGGAGGTCTGAGTTATGAAACTGAAGTTTTAATTATGTACTATTATTATTTAATTATTTATAATTACGAGGGCCATCCAGGAAGTAGATTACGTTTCCGTCTGTGTCCGCTAGGGGCGGGGCTAGCGCGGCCATCTTGGGGTCAGAGCGTTGCGCAGCTCAGTCTGCATCTAACCGTGCTAGTGAGAGGTTCGTGCTGTGCTCCGTTCAGATACTGTGACGGTTTGAAATGTCTGCGTTAATTGAAAATCCCGCGAGCTGCGCTCAGTAATAAGGTTTCTGACTGCAAAAAACTGTAAACCGATAGAAATCTATCGGCAGTTTCGTGAAGTGTATGGGGACAACATTATCACTGAAGGTGGAGTGCGTCAGTGGGTCATAAGATTTCAAAATGGCCGAACCAATGTTCACGACGAAGATCGAAGTGGGAGACCCAGCATAGTGACCGCCGAACTTCTCGAAAAAGTCGATGCTAAAGTCCGTGAAAATCGAAATTTCACAATAACGGAACTTTCTTTGAGTTTTCCACAAATTTTGCGAAGTTTGTTGCACGAAATCATCAGCGAAAAGCTTGGTTACCACAAGTTTTGTGCAAGAAGAGGTAACGAAGTGGTTGAAGGCGCAGGCGGCCGAATTTTTCGACGAAGGAATTTCCAAGCTCGTACATCGCTACGATAAATGCCTTAATTTGTATGGTGACTATGTAGAAAAGTAGTATTTGAGTGTGGCTTTCATCTGTATATAATAAAATTTGTTTCCTATACTTTGTTTATTTTTTTATTCCAAAACGTAATCTACTTTCTGGATAGCCCTCGTACTATTACTATTTATTACTTAATTAAAAGTAATTATTTATTACTTAATTATTTATTTCCTTTAATTATATAAATTATATATTACTTAAAATCATACTTTAAATGGAAAAAATAACTCCATAATTGTAGAAGGAACACATAGTACATTTATTTGTCATTTAAATGCAAGTAACTGGTGATAAGTAAAATTAAAACAGAAGCGAAATTTCTTACTGCATTAAAGGATAACTTAAACTGAAAACACAAGAAACACATTTAGAATGTAAAAACATATTTATTTCATTAGCTGTAGATAAGTAAAAACATTGTGTGGTGATAAAAGCACTATACACTCTCCATTCGCAAATGGTAGTATAGGGTCAAATGTATATGTTTCAGATAAAAATGGGTGAACATAAACATACAGTAATGGTTTTAAATCAAATCATAGAATTGTCAATCAATAAAACACATATCTTATGACCTTTTTACTAAGAAATGGTATAAAATTAAACTGAAAATGACACACTAAATACATACTAAAAAAAAGCAGAAGCATCAGATTTCACATAGTAATTATTGTCAAGTAATCTTCTCTCCTTTTTGGATTTTCTGTAACTAATATTTTTCACGATTCAATGAAAATACTTACTTTATGGGTCTCTTTACAATCTTGAAAAATAATATTCTGAAATATCTAAAACTTAAAATCATTATTTTTCATAAATAAAATATTAAATGATTATAAGAATGAGCATAAGTATAAATGCCATTTCTGCCTTTTCATTAACTGTTTATCTACATTTATAGCTGTCATGTTTTACTACTTATTTTTAGAGACAGTCAAAAAGTCGTTAATCCGGACTCGTCGGGACTTCGGCGATTCCGGATTATCGATTTTTCCGGATTATAGATCATCAGTTTAAATCTCGTAAGATGGCATGCAGAAATTCTAAAATTAAAAATATGAAACCGTAATTTATGAAATAAAGAACAATTATGATCTAAAGGGTATCAAAATTTACAAAAAAAAAAAGCTTAATATTTATTTGTTTACTTTATTAAACATTTCTTTCAATGTAAGTTGTTTAAGTTGCTTCATTTTATGTGATACTAATACTTTCTCTTAATTCTATAAACAGACATAATTTCTTTTCAGTTAAAGAGTTCTGCTGCTGTTCAAGTCCCGTTAATTGCTGTGCCGAGAATACCGACTAACTGGTCAATGGAAATTTTTTCGTTTTCACTAACCTCTCTGTCACATTCTTCATGTCTTTATCCATTTTTTTCAGCAATTTCACTTTTTGTTTGTTGGACATTGAAACATACTTTCGTTTTGTAGATCCTTTGGAAGTTCCAGCATCGGAAATTCTATTTGACATAATCGAAAGTTCAAGTTTACTTTTATAAAATTGCTCTTACAGTCTGCAAAAAATAATAAGCGGGATCCTATTCGAAGATTAAGGAACAACGCAATCATTAACATTAACTGAAATAGATAATTAGATAATTTTAGCCTACACCGTCCGTTATACATTAAACGCGCAGGCGAAAACGTATTCTGCGCTTGCTCACACGCATATGCGCAGTAGTCAAGTTCTTACGCGCTCGCGTAAAACGCCTGTGCGCATGTGCTAACGCGGCACATGCGCAGAAAGTTTTTAGCTTTGAGGTCCGGATTATAGATCATCCGTTATGGGGTCCGAATTCGACTTGACGTATTTGATTTTGCTTAGTTATAATTGGGGGGGAATGGGCATTTATATTTCGTTTCTGGGCATGACAAATTCAAATTGCATTTTCAGTCAAAGCACGACTTATTATAAGATTTATATAATCATTTTAATATAGGTATTTTGACCAAAAATTGGACTTTTTCTGAAATGGCATGGCAATTTTTATCCATATTTCGATTCTACAACTAAAATTATGCTGAAATATTAAATTTTGTAAAATTCAGTGCAAAATTTGCAGAGAAATTCAAAAATTTATCTTGGCACATTTGTTTCAGTTTACACTAAGAATAATTCACTTGGCCAACTTCTTAATACATGGCAACCTATTTTCCTTTCACTATTTACATTGTGCATGAGCGGAAAAAGTTACACCATTCCTACTTTCAAATAATTTTAACAAAGTGCCTAAACCACATTTGATGTTATTATCGCTTTCAACAAATATGCCAAATTTCAAAATGTGCAAATATATAAATTCACGTATATCTTCACAAATTTTGAATAAAAAACTCTAATTTTTTGCAGGCATGCTTAGAAATACATCTACTTTAAGATGATGGTAAAAATTTTATAATTCAAAATTTTTCCGAAAAACTTATAAAAATTATTTAAAAATACAAATTTTGAAAATAAATCATAAAAAAATGGACAAATTTTATTTGGAATGAACCTAAATTTCAAAATGTTAAAAAGAAGAATCAAATCAGTTTAATAAGAAAAAAGAAAGATTAATAAATATATACCAAATTCACTTAACATCAAGGAGCTACAATTTTGAGAGCTAATTTTTTAAAAACGTGGCAGTTTGGCATAATTTGAGCTGTAGAATCGAAACACAGAAAAAAAAAAAAAAAAAAAAAAAAAAAAAAGGCATGTCATTACAGAAAAAGTCCAATTCTGTGTTAAAATACCTATATTAGAACAATGCTATATATAAATCCAATACATATCCTAAGTCGTGCTTTCGAGACATGAAAAATGCAAGTTGAATTTTGTCAATCGGCCATGTAGAACGGGAGCTATAGAACTCTACCATTTTTTTCGCAGTGTACATTTTATATAATTTTGCATTTGTGGCCATTTCTTGAATTCATCAGTGTTTATTTCACATATTATGTTAGAGACCTCTTAATTCCGAGTTCGAGAGACATTGGAATCTTGAGGATAACTCAGGTAGAATCAGAGATAGAGGCAGAAACCCTTTTATTTAGTCTTGATGATAATTTTTATAGCCAAGGTGTTGACAGTTGCAATTTCTCATTAACCTTGCAGCATTCTGAAGCTTTTCAGAAAGCATGTTTTGAAGTTCAGAAGCAATTTTTCTCAGTACCTCCAAAAACTTTTACTTTCCTCGAGTAACTCTATCAAAAGGAGATTGTGAACAACCATGTTGAAGAAAATTTTGCTTTATGGCTGCTTTTCTTCTAAGGTTATTTATTCTATTTATCTTGTTTTAAGAGCTGTTATCTATCCTAAGTGTTCCGTATTTTGTGCGACTCCAATCAGCCTATGATTTTTGAACATCTCTAAATAATTGTAATGCACTTTCTCTGTATGAAAACATTGTTAAAAAATAGTGGCGAGCCCATGAACTAATGGCTTAAGTGCTAACATTTAGCATTTGTAAAATAAATTTATCTTGAGTTCAAGCCTTTCTGCTTTTTTAGTATCGTTATTTAACCCTCTGAGTGATACGACTACCTTTATACAATCATGAGATTTTTTTTTTTGTCTCTTAGTATATATTAGTTTATAATTTAAAATATTCCTCTTTCTTACTTTTTTAATGATGTAAATATCATCTTAATGAATGGAAGTTTATGAAAACAGAGACTAAAATAAGTAATTATACAAATTTAGATATTAAATGGTTTCAATACAGGTCTTCATGATCAGATCCGAAAGCCCATGTCAATCAGAGGGTTAACAGATTTCACAAATATGTAGCATGAAAGTAAGATAAGATGTTAGATAAATGTACTAAAATAAATTACAGTGTACTCTTGATTACAGTCAAAAGTCGTTAATTTGGACACCCATAATCCGGAATGATCTACAATCCAGACCTCAAAGGTAAAATCTTTCTGCGCATGCGCCGCGTTGACGCATGCTCATAGGCGTTTTACGCATGCGCGCAAGACATTTTATGACTGCGCATATGCATATGCGCAAGTGCAGAATACGTTTTTGCGTGCTCGTTTAATGTATAACGGACGGTATAAACTAAAATTATTTAATTATATATTTCAGTTAATGTTGCAGATTGTGTTGTTCCTTAATCTTCGAATTGGATCCAGCTTATTATTTTTTGCAGACTGTAAGAGCAATTTTATAAAAGTAAGCTTGAACTTTCGATTATGTCAAATAGAATTTCCGATGCTGGAGCTCCCAAAGGATCTAGAAAACGAAAGTATGATTCGATGTCCATCAAACAAAAAACGAATTGCTAAAAAAATGGATAAAGGTATATCCTTTGTTTATCTAACCGTTCCCAAATCTGTTTATCAATTTCACGCTGCTCTGCACGCGGGGGGGGACGTCGCGCCGTGCAATGAACTGGAAGTTGATCTGTCAGCACTATTGTTATCTTCAGGGCAGATGTTTTTATTTTATTCAGCTTATAATTCCTTACTAAATGTAGTATTTAATCTCAATGTACTCCGTCTTTGATATGATTTAAATGAAATTCCTCGTCATTATAAATATCACAAATACACATCAAATAGTTTTCTGGTTGCAATTTTTCTAATTTTGACTATGCGTAGTGTATGCTTTACGCATGCATGCGCTGAAAGAAATGTTTAATAAAGTAAACAGATAAATATTAAGCTTCTTTTTTTGTAAATTTTAATACCCTTTAGATCATAATTGCTCATTATTTTATAAATTACGGTTTCATATATTTTTAATTTTATAATTTCTGCATGCTATCTTACCAGATTTAAACTGATGATCTATAATCAGGAAAAATCGATAATCCGGAATCGCCGAAGTCCCGACGAGTCCGGATTAAAGACTTTTGACTGTATTTGGATAATAATTATCCGGTTTGCAGATTATCAGTTGGATTGTGTTACCCACGCATACACAGTCAACACTATGCTCTAAAGTACGCAAAACAGAAACATGTGCAAGATTGACCATGCTCTAAAACAGTTGAACGGCAACTCTAGGTTTAGTTTCAAGGATTACTTAAAACAATCCTTTCTGCACATGCATAGTTGAAGGCATTATCATTACATTAGTCCCAAGATAGCAATGACTTCTGTTTGACTCTGTTGACTTGGTCCATGAAAAAAGATTCGAATACAATGAGAAAACAGCACTTCGAGAAATAAGCAGTAAAATTCCCCAGAAATTTAGGTTTTCTAAAAACCAAAGTAAAATTATTAATTTTCTTAAGAAATACACATACAATATGCATAAGAATTGATAGTTTAGATTATCCTTGCTTTTAAATTATACATGACCTGCTTCCCAACATTAGTTTGGATAATCGAGAGTACACTGTACAATGGAATTTTTGAAGACATACATATACTGTCACATATTTATAGATTTAAACATTATGAGAAACGCATTTATTTATTACATTCTTTCTCTGACATACCTCATTTACACATGACTGTCTTACTGAAGAGTAATCACTTTCTGACCTATCAAATAAATAGAAATTTATTAATGTTATGTTGTAAAAAATGTTACAATAAATATAACAATTTTTAAAAAAAAATAATATCACATATCTACATATATGACAGGAACATCCACATACAGTTCCCTTGCATTTTGTTGTGCATTTATTCATTTCGTTAAAACTTACACAGCAGTTAATATTTATAGGCAATTAATTGCTTAGTTATTTCTGAAATTATCAATGTAATCCTATTAATCATTGAATATTCCTGTTGACATTAAATTAGCTGATCCCCAGTTTGGAACTCCTAACAAAGCAGCCAAGTTACTAGGGGCTAAGCTGTGAGATTTTAAAAACATAGGAAAATTTCAATTAGAAAATCAACTGTTAATATTCCAAGAAACAGTTTTTGGATACATTGTGCAGGTTCATGCATGAGTAATTCAGAAATAAATTACTGTACCTTAGTTCCAAATAATGAAGAATGACGTCAGAAAATTTTGCAAAGATTTTGGGAAGTTGAATGCACTGAAAATATTAAGGAGTTTTAGAAGTAGAAAAATACTGTGAAGAACATATCAAGTATCACTATGAACAAAATTATGGAACATATGTTGTACAGTTACCCAATAAGGAAGGTGTGGAATTAGGAGAATCAAAAACACTTGTGAAGAAAAAATTACATCAAGTGTGGAAGCGATTTGAATATGAAAAACCTTGTATAAAAATTTTATAAAGGACTATAAAGCTTTAAATCACATGAAAGAAGTACCGTAATTTCGCGCGTATAGTCCGCGGACTACCTGTGTTTAAAATGCGAATTTTTGAAGCTGCGGATAATACGCTGGTTGTTCACAGTTAAAATTGTTGAAATTTTAAAAACACACTGTCGTGAACTGCCGATGATCAAATATAAAAAAAGTCCGAGATTCCAAGAAAACATTCGTATGTATCGTATCGATAGTAAACCATAGAGCATAGTGCAGAACGAATGAGTAGTAGCAAATAGAGCTCCTAAAAGTCTTGTATCAAAGTATCCTTCGCACTGCTTTAGTGCAACTGCCGTGAGGGGGGGAAAGTAGTTGATGCGTTAGCTCGGTTTTAAGGAGCCTTAGTAGCAAGTACTTGGAGTACAAAAAAAAAAAAGCATGATTCGTTTACTTATAGGGTGGTTTGGCAACGAGTGAGTGGGGTCGAAGGTCACATTTCATTACCACTTATCATGAGTAAAGCACGTTGCACAGTATTTTGTTTTCGTATTTTGTCTTTCATCTTCGATAACGTTAATGAAACATTGCCGGAGTTTTACTGCTGAGTTTAAACTCAAGGTAGTTGAGAAAGCTGAGAAAGATGGAAATAGAGAAGTGGGCCGTTATTTTGAAGTGGACGAGAAAGCGGTGAGAAATTGGTGCAAACAAAAGGAAGTGTTAAAAAGCATGGGAAGAAAGGGATCCAATCGGCATGGAAAAGTAAAATGGACAGCTTTAAAGGAAAATTTACTGAGATGGGTTCTCGACCAAAGAAATGCCGTTTGATGAACAAATGAATGACAAATGAACGACGACAAATGAAAATTTCAACAGTTAAAATCCGTCTCCGAGCAAAGTCCATGGCAGAAGAGATGATGAGCAAAGTCCATGGCAGATAACGGATTTCAAGGGAGGAATAAATTGGGTTTACCGCTTCATGTGTCATAAAAACTGGAGAGTTCGCAGCAGAACGACAATGTGTCAGGATGTTCCGGACGACGTAGATGAAAAAAATACTTCTTTTCTTCAGTTTACAAGGAAAGTTATTGCAGAAGGGAAGTATTCCTTAAAAAATATTATAAATATGGACGAAGTTCCATTAACATTTGATTGCCCACCAAATCGCACCGTCGATACTTGTGGAGTAAAAACAATATCAATAACAACAACTGGTCAAGAAAAGACCCAATTCACAGTGATGCTCGCCTGCTGTGCTGACAGCACAAAGTTGAAGCCGCTGTTAATCTTTAAGAGAAAAACAATTCCCAAGGAAAGTTTCTCGAAGCGGCCTAATACGGTGCAATGAAAGGGTTGTGCAACGAGGACATATGCTCGATTGGTTTCAAGAAGTTTGGAAGAAGAAAGAAGGTGCCTTTTTCAATCCAAAGAAGTACTAATTATGGATTCCTGAGGGCACACATAAAAGACAGTGTAAAGGCGGAAGCTAAAAAAAAAAAAAAAAAAAACATTGGTGCTGAACTTAGCCTTATTCCAGGAGATTTAACAAAAATCCTGCAACCTCTGCGTGAACAAAAGTTTCAAGTCCCATGTACATGCTTGCTGGGAGATGTGGATGTTGGAAGGTTTACATACTTTCACAAAAGGAGGAAATATGAGACGCGCTTCATATGCTGAAGTTGCTGAATGGTTCAATAAATCCTGGAAAAGTGTTAAAGTGTCAACCATCTGATTGGGATTTATAACAGCCAGGATTGTTAGTGAAAGCGAGGAAATCACTGACAATGAAGATAGTGATGCTGAAATGACTTTCGGACACTCTTCTGAAAAATATATTAGAACTGTTAATTCTGAATCGAGAATCGGACTTTGACGGTTTGTGAATGTATAGAATGTGTGATTAATTAATATATGATTAATTAGTAAGCACTGTTTTTTATTTATTTAGTTGTTTTATTTGAAGGTATATTAGTAAGTAAGTACTTTTTTATATTTATACTTAGTTCTTTGTTTCTAAAATACATTAATATTGCCGTATTAAAAAAACGTAATTTCGGAGGTATAGTCCACGGACTATCCGGTGGTGCGGACTATCTGACGATTTTTGAAATTGTTTTATATAAAATCGTGTCTGCGGACTATACGATGGTGCGTACTATACGTGCGAAATTATGGTATAGGAAACTGAAACATCATCCTACAATTTTCTTAATCATCATGGAGTTTATCTCTACACAGAAAACCTCTACCAAGCTTCATATCGTGTTTTGCATCAGCAGCTACTGCCAGGGAGCAGTTGATCTGATGGAAAGAGCCGACTGGCAGCCCTGCTCAGACTTATCCTCTGAAGACTGTAACATATGGAAGAGCAAGTACACTATTCCTCGCAAAAATATTCCTGAAGCAGTTAGCAGTGACTGAATTTCCTCATGCCTCATGAGCCATACTGAAGGACATTACACTGAAGCTAATTTGCTGTAAGAAGTCAAGGAATTGCAGACATAGTTAATCCATCTTCTTCTAGAATATGATGGAATGAAGGTATACTAATGTGTTCAAATAATACTGAACTACTGAAGAATAGAGAAAATGCAACTCAGGATTATTCTTTTCAAGTTATTGATGAGCCCCAGGTCTCAAAGGCCTTGGAAATGTCATGGAATAGGGCTACAAATAGTTTCTCTTATGACTGCAAGATACCTGCATTGAAAAGACAGTAATGAAAAGAGATGTCTTGTCAGCAATAGGTCTCTTCTTTCATCCATTAGGTTTGATTGGATCTGTTAATAACAAATCTAAAATTATTTCTACAAAACTTTGGCTCTTGAAATAAATTGAAACACACCTTTTCCTGAAAGATGATTCTAAAGAATGAAAGGCATTTCTCATAGTCTTAGATTAGTCAATGATTTTCACCTCCCTAGCTTTATTCTAACTGATGGAGCAGAGTTAATAGAAATAATAAGATCATGCAGTGTTAGTCTGCAATGCTACTGATGCTGCAATTAATATGAAATGCATATCATCTTCGAATGAATGTTCATCAAGACTTCTCTATACCAAGTCTTGTATTTCACTTTTGAAGTAAATTACCATTCTTTATTTGAAACTTTGTGCTACAGTTCTGTGTGTTGTTATTGATCTTACTTGTCTGACCTCACCAGAAAAAGCCCATGAAGTTTATTGTGGCGAAAGGTACAAGATTATGTATGCTATTGGCTAGAGCATTGGGCACCATATAGGTGACAGTACAATTTTGCCCAGTTTCACCCCAATTTTGAGAGCAGCCCAGGGAATGGATTTGATGGTCTTCCCCTATCATCAAACCATATGAGAGGAATTTCAGTTTGTGATATGTTGTGCATTTAACACAGTTAAGGCATTTGAATACACTATCCTTTATTTAGATTAAAGAATTTTAAGTTAGAATAACCTTAGAATCTTTATTTAACAAGTTAGGGAGTTTCCTTAATTCAGATAGAACACAAGTCAAAGTTAAAAGTCTTTATAACATTTAAATCGACAAGTTGAAAATAAAGAACTTGCAAGATACTCATTTATAAGTTTTAAATAGCTTCAGGCTCAATTATCAGGCAATATTATTAGGAGTATATTCCATAAAAGAAGGTAACATGCTGAAATGAATGAAGCATAAACATAATGCAAATATGAAATCTTTTTAGGACTTCTGCTTCTGAAACATAAGTAGAATATTCTTCCACTGATATATATTGTTTGGCGCTCGTTTCCCCCTCCCCAATTGCCGATTTTCATTATGCAAAAGTGACACTAATTTATTCTAACAGTCTGCCATACATTTAGAGTTCCCCTATACCAGTGGTGCGCAAACTAGGGGTCGCCAGAAGTTTTTTGGGGGTCGCACAAATTTTTATGAAATGCATTATGCCTGCATGCTGCATACCATACAGTGTACATATAAAGAATGAAGCGCCATCACTCACTGTTTAATTGCAATTTCATGCTGTCCGCTCTTTCTTCGACCGTAATGCGTAATGTATGTAAAGTGTGAAGACGCAAGTTTTACACTCCGGTAGATAGCACCCTCTTCGTGGTAATTCGCCAGTTTTCCTGAAAAGCATCTATTTGACTAGATGTTAACCGCAGTGAAAGGGAAAAAATTCGCTTCCGTGATTAACCAATCAGATGGCGAGGCACGCGATGTATATGATAGTCAGAGTAAAGCCGTGAAGTGTTCGCATGAAGTTGTAGCAGTTGGGCCTGCAATTGTTTTAGTTGATCCTTGAGTTTTATCATGTGACGTTGTGCAATTATGATTTTTTATATTTTTATCGGGCTTTGCTACTCTTTGTTATCAGGTATGTACTATCATTAGAGAAAGATCTCTGTTAATTTTATTGAAGTTCTCAAAAAAATGAGAAAATTTTATATATTATTTGTTTTAGTTTAAATAATTAACCCCTATCTTCATAATGGATAAATGGGTTAATACACAGGTACATCTTCAGCTAACAAACGAACAAATACGATGAGGAGTCGCAAAATACTGAACTAAATGCCCAATCTAAAAAAATAAGAAAATACAATGAGGAATTTATTAAGTATGGTTTTACATTTTGTGTGAAGAACGCCCGCTATGTGTCATTTTCAACGAAAAGTTAGCAAATGAGAGCAATGAACCAGCTAAATTAAAAAGGCACCTGGAAACTAAACATAAAGAACTTCAAAATAAACATGCTGATTTTTTTCAAAGACGAGCTGAAAATATGAAAATTCAAAGTGCACATTTAAAGAAATTTACAACAATACCTCAGAAAGCATTACGAGCTTCTTTAGAAGTTTCTTATCTAATAGGAAAATCAATGAAACCCCACACAATTGGAGAATCCCTTATCCTTTCTGCAGCAACTAAGATGACATCAATTATGCATGGCGATAATTATGGAAATGAACTAAAAACAATACCATTATCAAGAGATACCGTGTCTCGGCGTATTTCCAAAATGTCACGAAATATCGAGTCAGAAGTCATAAAGTGCATACAAAATTCAGAAAATACAAAATTCGGAAAAAGTTTGCGCACCACTGCTCTATGCCACAAAGCCACTATACATTTACAAACATCCACTGCCTTGTCCAGGATTTGCACGTGGACACTTCAGTTCGGTAGTCAGAGTCACTAACCACTATCTCGGTTGGGCAGCGGTGCAGCTTTCTTAGTAATACTAGAGGCCATTCAACTATCCAAACACAAGGTGTATTATTTTACTGATACTTCAATAGTGTTAGCATGGATTAAGAAGAAATCTCATCATATCATCTCAAGATATTTTTTTGCTAACAGAGTATCTGTTATTTGTAGTATAACAGCTATTCATCAGTGGTGTCATGTTAGCACTCATAACAATCCAGTTAATTTGACATCATGTGGAGATGAACCTAAAAATCTTTGTCATAATGATTTAAGATAGTAAGGATCAAGGTTCTTAGCTAAATTGTAATGGAAAAGCTTTAATAGGTTCTCTAACTATTAAAGAATTGAATGATGCTGAAAAAATTATCATAAGATATATACAGTCACAAGATTTTGAGAGGATATTTTCTCCTTGAAAAATAAGAATTATATTTCTTCTAAAAGCAAGTTAATATGTTTATGTCCATTTTTAGATAAGGATTTGCTTCTGAGAGTAAGAGGTACAATTACAAATAATAATCTTATTTATAGTAAGAATTTTTGTTATGTAATGTCAAAAGATAATATATTTACAAGATTAATTTTTTATTATTATCATGTTAAGTATTTGCATCTTGGTGCACAAGTTTTACTGCATATTTTTAGCAAATTTTGGGTTATTAATGGTTGAGATATAGATTGAAAGGTTGTACATAGATGTGTAACATGTTTTAAGATTAAACTACATGTACATGAACAACTTATGGGAAATTTACTTGGTGACAGAGTTAACCCAAAGTTTGTCTTTAATGCTTGTGGGCTTGATTTTTCTGTCTATTCCTCATAATGTACAAAAATCAGAGAAAGGGTAATTGTGCAAAAATGAATGTTGCAATATTTATTTGTTTAGCTAGTAAAGCAATACACTTAGAGGTAGCAAATGATTTAACTACAGATGCCTTACTTGCTACTATTAAAAAGATGATGGCTAAACATGGAAAATGTAATAACATAATACCAGATAACAGTACATGGTTGGTAAAAATCAGAAATGAAAAAATTGCATACCTTGGTCCTTAACTGTAATTCTGACACTGCAAATTTCTTAACATGTGAAGGTGTAAATTAGAAACTGATTCAAACTTGGGCACCAAATTTTGGTGGTTTATGGGAAGCAGGCATTAAGTCATTCAAATCCCATCTCCAGTGTACAATCAGTAAATATAAATTGATTTTAGAAGAAATCTGGACACGTTTCATACTCCTTCAAAGCAAGAATAATATCCCATAAAAGACTATATAAATGTAGTGATAAAGACAGTACTTTATAAATGTAGGCTAGGCAATGGAAAAGAATGCAATGGAAGAGGAGTAGAGCAAAATATCACTGCTAACTGTAAGAAATGCTTTTTTATCTTCAAATCGAGCATCAACTGACAGTTCAGAGAAAAGGCAACTAATACTTAATAACTAAAACTTTTTCTAGAAATTTATAAATAACTTTAGTATTACTGTATTTTTCTAGAAATATTTATAAGTTTCTTTCTGATGCAGATATGGGTTGCATATGTTCTCATATCACTGCATGGATGGAAGCTTATGCAATAAATAGGCAATAGTGAAAGCTTATTGCAATGGAAAAAACATTTTCTCTATTTTTTGAAATTTAAGAATATAGCAAAATCTATTTTCTAGTTATTTATTCTACTACGGCTGTTCGCACAATTTTTAGATGATTTTCAATGTATTTACAGAAATATTTTACCCAAAATTCATGTGTTTTAAATGTCCCATTTGATAACTCTTATTCTTCACTATCTTTCTACACCATAATTTCCAACATGATAAAGCTTCCTTCAGTACCAGAAGAGGTATTTTATCTCATTTCTCTTGAACAGCTTTCCAGAGTCCAAGAAGAGTTGTAGAGCAACATCTGGACAAGTCCAAAAGTGGAAAAATCCGTGGAAAAATCCGATGACATCAGGAGATTTAGTAGGGACAATAGTGAAGGGTATGATCTTGCTACACACTTCTTATTCCCTTTTTCTTGGAAATTAAAAGTGGATTTTTGACGTCCGACTGCTTGCTTTGTCTTGATGCAGTTTTACTGAATGTTTGCACTGTGGGTAAAAAGAGAAGCTATTTCATATTTGAAAATTGGGTATAAAGTATGTAACTGATAATATGTGGAGTTGACCTTAACAGTTTTCTGCACTCTCTTTATTTTTAATTTGCCGTTATATGAAAAACCAGCAACAATCATAGATCCTTCTGAAAAACTTTCTTTAGATTCTATGAACCATGATCTAAGACTTTTTCCTTCTCTTTGATGATAATAAATGGATATCTTTTTATTGCAGTAATTTAAACGTATCCAAGATTCATTTATTGTAACAACACTTTTCCATTTTTGTTTGAATAATTGTGTGTCATAGAGAATTCTGCAGCACATTCTGCTTTCAGGAATATGTGGAGAAAGACAATCCACATTGTTTTTTCGCCTTTTCGAGATTCAAATCAACATTAATCACTTACAACATTAATCAACATTACTCTTGACACTAAACATTTTAATGATTAAGCAACTGCCTTTTGAATTTGAAGGTGTTCTTTTAACATTAAAGTTCTTATCTTTGCAATATTCCAAGCATTCCATTTTCTCCCTTTCTTATTGACAATATTATCTCTTGTTGCTTTAGATACTGAAAAATCATGGCTTTCACAGCATTTTTTAATAACTAAATACTAATAATTTTCTTTGGAAAGAGTACAAACATAGCCTTCCGTCCACTGCTTCTTTAAAAGCAGCATTTTGCATAAAAACAAAATTATCAAATAGCAGATGATAATTTATACTTTAAAAAAAATATAGCTGCAGTTAAAAATTTTTCCCCCCAAGCAGGCGATTTTTTTAAATAACAAAGCAAAGTTGTCAAAAAAATGTGCGAACAGCCTCTGTAATATTGATAATAAAATTGAAAAATAATTTAAAAAAAAACCTTTGTATCACCTCTCTTCATTATCGTCAGATTCATCTGATGAATCAGAAGAAGCTTCATCCGGAGAGAAATCTTCATAATTATCTATAGCTTCATCAAGCTGAAAACATATACAAAATAAGAAAGTATTTATTAGTCAAAGCACTGTTATGTTACACTAAATAATACTATTTACAAATATAATACATTGACCAAAATTATTTAAATTGCTGCTATTAAAATCAGGTCAATAATTCCACAATGATTAAGTAAAATTTCTATTTTTAAAGATTTTAATAGGTGTATAGTTATTTAAGCAATTTCTTTCTTTATTTTCTTTTTTATGAACCCAAAGGAGTGTTAGCCCAGAAGGGCTATTACCTCAAAAGCTGAATTTTGCGCCAGTTCATTATAAATGGCGTACCTCTTTTTAAAATTGTTACCACCAAATTATAACTGCCCTGTAATATACAGGGTGGTTATAATTAAAGTTCTACTTTTGAATGGTCATAAAAGGAAAAATACTAGACCAAATGTTATCAAACTCAGTAATCATGTAAAGGAGGTCATGGGAATTTATTTTCATCGAAAAAAAAATTTTAAAAACTCACCACCAGGGGATAATAGTTCTGTATGCAATATTGTTAAACAAAACAAGACAGAAACAAGGGAAATCCTCTCCCTGCAATACTTAATCGACAGCCTCCTGGATCCTGAAATACAGAAAGCTCCTCGAATGGCGGATGTCAAGGATGTAAAAAGCGCTCTAGTGTACACCATGAAATTCAAGGCAGCCCAGCAAGCAACTCGTAAAGATTGCTACCCAGTCAGAGCTGCGCGAGTATATGAGCCAGTGGATCAATTGATGGCTCGTTTAGATGAATTATCCAGATGTCAATGCTTTGATATGGGAAAGCAGTGAGAAGAAACTGACTCTAAAGTGTTGGAAATGTGGTGCTGAAGGCCGCATATGAAAGAACTGAAGAACACCCTGGGCAAAATAAGATAGACTATTTAACTGCAGAACATCCCAGGGCTCAGAGAATAAGAACATTTCCCAGCAACAATGCTGGAAATAAGTTAATGACCATATCACGGATCGGAGTTTAAACAATAGTGAAAAACCCCATTTTAATAAGCACTCAAGATTTCTGCAGTGAGTGGTAGCAGTGATGGACTATTCATCAATGAACATATCAATGGAGTTCCTTGCAATATGATCATTGGCACAGGAGCTAATGTTACCTTCATTCGGAAAGATTAAGCTCAACAATTTACAGATAAATTCATTTAGATGCCATCCTGTGTTACCCTCCACACTGCATCTGGTGATAAGATCAACATAGGTGGGAAGTTAAACATGAACATCATATTTAGAAGTGTTGCCTCACACGGCGTGTGTGGCAGGGATTACAGATCCTTGCATACTCGGATTGGACTTTTTATGGAAATAGAACTTTTCCTTAGACTTCCAAAAAAAAAAAAAAAAAAAGCAAATTGTGATATTGTATGAATATCTCTAAAGAAATTTCAGCCTTTTGTTTTATTTTTTTGTGATAAGAATAAATTTTATTTACTTTTCATCAGACTTGTGCATCCAATTTATTATGAACATATACGCATGGAACAATAGTAATATAAAATTAAAGGAAACAAATATACTATAATAAAACACAAAATGATTTATAGGAATGTTATAGGTTATACAAATAGGTTATGCAATACTCACTCTCTTTTCTCGTTCTAATGCTTCAGCATCTTCAGACTCGTCTTCAACAGAGGCAAATGTACCAGCAGGCATGTCAAAATTCATGCTTATTGGATTAAAGGTACTTAAACTATCATCCATATTTATATCTAAAATAAAATGAATGATAATTTTTTCTAAAACAATGTCTGAAATTTCTCTTGCATATATTTGCAAGCAATAAAATTTAGGAAAATATATATCAGTAAAATTTTGTTGGTAAAGATATCAAGGATGAAAAATTGGGAGGTTTTTCTTGTAAAGACGCATTCAATATATATAGGTGCTTATATACACAAAGTATGACAATAAAGTTTGCTGAAAGACATCATATGATGGGCACACATGACAGTGGGTGAATGACAAAGCATAGAAAAGATACTCCATGACATGTCTGAATATGTCTGAGAGCAGCACACGAAAAAGCATCATGAATTTCTATTAGTAACACATTAGCTTGCAATGTAGCTGTGGCTGTAAAACAGAGCAAGGAAGAGGCTCAGTAAATCTGTGGAAAAAGTCATTACATGCTTAAATAAGTTTAAGGGCATGGAATTGTTCTTTTAAAGTGAATTTACAGATGATTTAAACCTCTTCATTGGAGGGATTCTACTGAATATGTTGCTTGACGTGGTAGTACTGTGATGCTTTGTGTGGATGAAAACAATTGAAAAGTAGTTTCTTCTCCACAACGATGCTTGTCTGCATGTGTTACTGAAAGAGTTTACGGCCCGTACAGAAGATCTAGCCCCCGATAAACAACCATATCACCTGATCTGATGCCAGTAGACTTTTTTCTGTCCTCTTACTTCAAACAAGTCTTAAAACAGAATGATTTTTGAATATTCCAGAAATTCAAAACTATGTGACACAGGTTCTCCCAGTGCTCCCAAAAGAGGACTTTGCTTGAAGTTTTCAGGAACTGCAAGCAAAGTTTATTATCAAAAATGCATTGCAAACAATAAACATTATTTCAAAAGAATAAAAATCTTTATTTTGGTAAATCACTAAACTTTGTCATTCCTTGTACGTATATACATATATGCCAATTATATAAAATAAAAATATATAAAGCCAATCTCTAACTTTAATTTGATATAGCCCCTTAACTCTCCAATTTAATTTGGCTATTTCCCCTTTCTGCCTTAAAAACAGTAACTGCTGATAGTAAATTTCTCTAAACTATGTCATTTCAAAATTAATCCATTATTATATGGCTGTTGCATAATGCTAAAAAAGCAACATTAATGATGCAGATACATACATAAGATACTTCATACAACAATAATTTCAGATGCTTTAAATTAACCAAGCAAAATATATCTAAACTAAAATTAACTCATTCTGATTCTCAAGATTTCTTCTTGAACACATTACATTCTCTCTCTATCTTCTATACTGTCAACTCACTTACCTACTGCTGTGTCTTATCTTTGAAAACATTTCAAAATTATCATGTAATTTTTCAAGAACAGGCATGATTGGTATACTACTTCATCTCTGTTGGCTTGAAAAGTTTTGTAAATGAACATAAAAAGGAATATTAAAATCAGACATAATTACAAGCTTCTTTATGCATCTACACTGTCTAATTTATTTCATATATAGATATGTGTGCGCATGCATATCCTTTTTTATGTTTTGTCATTCACACACTGCCATGTGTGCCCATCGTATGGTCATAATGTCATGGTTCTTCAGTGTTTATATACATAAAACTAACAATTTATAATTAGAAAACTTTCAATATACCATCTCCAAGGAAGAGAAATTTAATTAAAATACATACCTACACGCACACATATATATATATACTCCAACTCCACTTTATACACTCTAACATAAGCTGCGCATACATAGTTTTTTGTACCTGGGCGAGCCCATTTTTATTATTGTTAAGATGATTATAATGTCATGGTTCTTTGGTGTATATATACATATACACTGGTGTGCAAAAATTAAGGACGAGACAGTTTTTTCAATATAACTTTGTACAAAAGATTTCCAAATCAACACATTTAATACCGTAAGATCCCCAATATGTAAGGACATGAGTAATGTAAGCAACACTTACTAAAAGAGAAATCAGAGGGATAAAAAGAAGCTTTATTGAAAAAGTAGCATGGAGCACAATGCGACTGAAGGCCGAAACATCCCTGTGATGGGTGTCCAGCAAGAAACATCCGGTCTTTAATAGGGGATATGATCTTCCCTGACTGCTAGGCAGGTTTCACAGCATCTGCCCATGCTGAGAATGAGGGTGTCAATGAGTTGTTAAGTCTTGCAGCACCAATCGAAGCTCCGGAATCGTTACTGGTGGTAAGGTAGGAGCTGCCAAGCGTTTGCCTAGAAAATCCCATACATGCTCGATGGGATTGAGACCTGGAGATTGTGCCGGCCAATCCATACGTTCAATATCCTCACTCTCTAAGAGCTGTTCGGCAGCTACTGTGCGATGACATGATGCATTGTCATCCATGAAAAGAAACTGCGGACCCATAGCGCCTCTAAAAAGACGCACATATGGAAGAAGAATCTCGTTACAATAACGGGTCCCGTTGACTGAACTTGCGTCGAAGATGTGAAGGTCTGTACGACTACCAAGCATGATGCCTCCCCAAACGAGAACACCGCCACCTCCATACCTGTCCCTTTCAATGATGTTCGAGGGATGATTGCGGCTTCCCCTCTCTCTCCAGATGAGTATGTGATGAGAATCGTTACTCAGACTGAATCTGCTCTCATCTGTATAGAGTACTCGTCCCCATTCATTGCCTCTCCAATTCCGGTGTTCCCGGCACCACAGAGAACGTCTTCTCCAATGGGCAGGCGTTAGAGGTACACACCGTACAGGGCGTCGTGCAAACAGACCACCACCGTGCAGTCTTCTGGCCACGGTAAAACGCGATATCGGTCGCCCAGTCGCCTGTGTCATGTGTCTAGTGATTTCTCCCGCTGCCTGCCGCCTGTTTCTTCCGGCCTGTAAGGCAATATGCCGGTCATCTGCGGGTGTGGTTCCTCGTGGACGACCACTACTCAACTCCCGGATAGCTGTTCCTGTAGTTTGAAATTGTCTCCAAAGTCGTGAAACGATGCTGTGAGCAATTCTGAACTCTGCAGCCACACTTGTCACACTGCGGCCTTCCTCCAACTTCCCAATGATTCGACCTCGGGTAAAAGCATCCAGATGTCGTCTAACAGATTGATTATTCACCATTTCTCGCTGAGGCAGCAACTCGGTGTGATTTTAACTGCTATACGGCGTGCAATCTCTTTGCCAGAAATACTGATCTTACACCGACAACATGCTTTATACTACTCAGATGCTCCCCATTACGTCTACCTGCATATCTGCGCATGTGCTACCGTACAGCACCTTACTTAATCTCCTGATTGGTCTTTCTGTCTGCTCTGCCTCTTCGTTCAGCTGATATGCTAATTTTTCGACTTCGTCCTTAATTTTTGCACACAAGTGTATATGTGCACATGCATGTATATAGTACCTAGTGCTTACAAGAATCCATGCCTGACCTTTATTTTTACAACTGTCAGTTGTAGTAAACTGTCATGTACTTCCAGTTACAAAAAATGTTTCAAATGATGCAAATATTCATGTTTAGGTCTTCTTAATTTAAAAAAAAAAAAATAATAATAATCATAAAATTTAGCTTTTTATATGTTTTTCCAGTTTATACACTTTTTTTAAGGAAAATTTTATGCTCATTATAAAAAATATAAAAAAAAAACATGCGAGTCACACACAGTAAATCGACCAAGATTTCAACCCTTTTCTGTTTGTTATTCTCACTGTAAGAATGCAAATGATGCAAAAGAAATATGCCAATAAACATGCAACCCAGCTTCCAAAACTTCATGAAAATGATAAAGTGTGGTTCAAAGGGAAAATTAAAAAACCTTGGAAACAGGGTATGATCATGAAGGTCCTCAACCAAGATCTTATGTCATAAAAGCAAATGATGGAACTGTGTATAGAAGAAATCGACATCACATTTGTAAAGACAAGTCTATGTGTAAAATGACAGAGTGGAACAGAACAGCAGAAGATTTGTTTCGACTTGGTCAATCAACACTTGATCAACCTGTTCTTGTAGATGATGATAAGCAGGATCCACCTAAGGAACAGGAAAGTGATTCTACTAAACATTCTCAAATTCCAGGAAATGCGTCAACTGAACCAGTATTAAGATGATCAAGTAAAAATAGAATAAAACCTCTTTGATATAGAGACAATTAGGAAGAACTTATTGATGCCATAAAATTATACTTTATTTATAGACTAATTATGGAATTTAATGAACTGTTCAGAAGTCTAAAAAGTATCAGTTTAATTAGTAAGTCATAATTTTAAAGATTTAAGTGAGTCATCAAGGTATGTAATTTTGCTATGTTCTCTAAAGATAACTGTTAAGTAATAATTTAATGTAAAAATGTTTTCTCGAGTTAACTGTTAAGTAAGTAAAGATTTAAAATAACTATTGTACTAAGTTAGTAACATGCACTAGTCTTGTTCTATAAATAAAAAGGGCATGTTAGATATTAATTACTGTGCTTGCCGATAGATGGCAGTGCCTCTAACCTCACTAGCTAGGCAAGTGCACGGTATTTGTGCTGCGTCACTCTCATCACTTGCCGCCGACTGTGTAGCATCAATGTCTCTCTTATGTATAAGTAATCTAATTTAATCATATAAATAAACAGTAATTTATCTATGTTTGACATGTCAACATACATAACAATAATCTAGGAAATCCAAGGACAAAAATGACAAAGAGGAAAGTATTCTTCCTCCTGCTGATGGAACCTGCTTGCTTATTGAGACTGCAGTGGAGCAAGAACAAAGTGAAGATGTTGAAATGAATTTCATGGATTTTAGGGCACTAGCACCTGAATGACAATATTCTCATGCCAAAAAGAGAAGCAACAATTTTGATAAGCTAGATAAATTGTTTCCACTAACAAGTCACTTGTCTGAATGATTTTTTACCATGCTTAAGCCAAGTAAAAATCAATCATTGAAATGAAGATATGAATCTGTGATCAAACTTAAAGGAAGAAATTCAGTAAAACAATAACATGCCAAAAAAGCTAA